AACAGAGTTTTATGGGGCCCCCAGGAACTTGGGGCCCCCAGGCAGCTGCCTAGTATTGCCTAATGATGAATCTCCATCCCCCTGTTTAACATAAATGATCCAACATTAACCTTCAGCAGTTTCCTGCCCAAAGATCTGAGCTTTGGTTCAGGAAGGTCAGATTCCTCCAGATTAACTGGGATTAGATCATCTGGACATTTAAAACAAACCAGACGGATTCTCCCAGCAGACTGAGACCAAACCAGTCCTAATCCCTCCCCTTTGGGCTGGTTTCCATCATCAGTTCTTCTTTCTTTGGGTCTTGAGTCTGAATGTTGGAAATTAAACAAATCAACGCAGAAGAAGGAAAAAAACTCACTTGCTCACGTTTTTTTTTTTTTTACAAAGTCTTGATTTTTATTTCCTCCAAACACAAACTTACAGGTAAACTTCATGAACCGGAATAAAAATAACAACCAGAGAGACGTTTGTAGATAGCTGAACGTCTTGAAAGGAGGAAACGGATCCAGGAGTGCACTTAGCATGGCATTACATCAGAGCGGTGAGTTTCTGGAGCTGTGTGAACGCTGCAGGGACGGACCGAATCAGCCTGAACCGCTCTGGACCTTAAAGTCCTGCTTTATGGATCGATTTCTCGTCTTTGTCCAACAGACTCCTGCTTCTAATCCTAAACATTTTCTCTTCATGGTTCCAGACTCATCATGCTGCAGGTATTAGACTCAGACTTTTAGCACCAGTAGGTCAAACTTTTCACACAGCAAACCTTCTTCCTTCTATCATGTGAAAAAACAAACAAAACAAAACAAAAAAAAAAACTACTTCAAGAAGTTTGGAGTTAAAGTTCATGTTGTGGTGAGTCCAGTGCTGCCACCGTCGCTTCAGGGTGGCTGTTTAGGATGGTTCTCCAAACAGAGGTAAAGCCTTCTATGTTCTCAGTGTGGCCATGATCCCTGGGTTGACTGGTGCTGCAGAAGAAAAATACAGTTAGAACCAAACGCTGTGCAAACTTTCCCTCCATGATCACTTTGTTCTAGATCCTCCTTCTCACATATAAAGCCTTAAATGGCCAAGCTCCATCTGATATCAGAGATCTGATTGTTCCT